CGCAGAACAAGGCCAGGAAAAAGGAGGGACTATATTTTGGGACTGTAGTGAAATTCAACTAATGAGTATTAAGTAGCCTGTTAAATGTTTATGGACCTAAGGCCAAGGAGGTTGTTGATGACTTAAGAAATCACAAGATCCATGGAGCAGCACCTGGATTGCAAAGTTGAGGAGTGAGACTTAAGAGGAGACAGCAGGCATAGACACCGCCATTGACAAAGGGGGAGATAGAAATCAGCCAGGAAGAGGCTAGGTTATCTTACAACTGATTTATTATGATGATGATTTTGAGATGGGAGAAACTCAGAGATGTTTAAGTGCTCATGGGAAGAAACCAGACAAGGAGAGGGTTGGAAATCCAGCAGAGAGATGGCAGGGTGGAGGCCACCTGGCTCTCCAAGGAACATGGGAGCCAGCGAGCAGCAGCAGAATTGGAATCGGGGTAGAAAAAAATGGGTAGTATTTATAAGAAAAAAACAAACCTGAAGTCCCATAGGAGAGATAGAATCAGCTGTGAATTCGAGGCTAATTGTAGGAGTAGGAGGATGGGCCAGCAAGAGAACAGTGAGGGTACCTGTCACAAACTGGCAGGTAAGCTAAGCCAAAGCCTTTGATTAAAGGGTCAAGAGACCCCTGACTATGTCTTTTAAATTTCTACTGTAACTTTGCTTAAGTGACACAACTTCTCTCTGTGCCTATTTGCTCATCCACAAAAATAGTAATAATAGTACCTATCAACCAGCCAGCGTGGCTCAGTGGTTGAGCATTGACCTATGTTCATGGTTTGATTCTGGATCAGGACATATGCCCTGCTTATGGGTTGAGTCCCCAGGATGGGGCATAGCCGATTAATGATTCTCTCTCATCATTGATGTTTCTATCTCTTTCTCCTTCTTCCTTCCTCTCTGAAGTCAATAAAAATATTTTTAAAAATAGTGCCCACCACATAGGGTAGCTGTGAGGATACATGGTTGGCATATAATAAGTGCCCAGTAAGTCTAAGCTCTTGCTGCCACTTTTATATTACTAGAGGCCTAATGCATGAAATTCATGCAAGAGTAGGCCTTTCTTCCCCTGGCTGCTGGCCCCAGCTTCCTTCTGCTACCCGGGCAGGACCCAGACTTCCCCTGCAGCCCAGCTTTGTCTGGAAGGTTGTCAGGTCTAATTAGCATATTATACTTTTATTATTATAAATTATTGAAGTGGCAGCATATATAGTAGAGTGGTTAAGAACACAGGTCAAGCCGAAACCCGTTTGGCTCAGTGGAGAGAGCGTCAGCCTGCAGACTGAAAGGTCCCAGGTTCGATTCCAGTCAAGGGCATGTACCTGGGTTGTGGGCATATCCCCAGTATGGGGTGTGCAGGAGGCAGCTGGTCGATGTTTCTATCTCTCTATCCTTCTCACTTCGTTTCTGTAAAAACTCAAAAAAATAAAAAAGTTAATTAAAAAAAAAAAAAAAAGAACACAGGTCAAGAAATCAGAACAGAGAATCCAAGATGGCTGCACAGGTAAACACCTAGCTAAAGCCACACACAATTTCAATAAAATACAACTAAAATATAAAATGGACATTACCCAGAACTATAGGAAAGTCGACTGGAAATTCTACAACAAGAAGCAAGGAGAAAACCAGAAGGAAGAGCGGAGGAGCTGTAAAAGCCTAGGGTACGGAGACACACAGCGCGCACGGAGAGGACGGAGCCGGAGAGAAGGGGCGGCTGAGTGCCTGGCTGGCATTCCCTAGCAGGAAGGAGATAAAAGCTCCGACTGTGCTGGGCCCCAGTTCCGACTGCCCTGAACCCCAGTTCTAGGCCAGACCCCAGGGACCCAGCTCATCCATAGGGAGCTGGGCTGTAAGGCAGAACCCCAGGGGAGCGGCAAAAGGAGGTCCCAGAGGCACACACATTGCGGCAGAGAAGGGACGGTTGGCTGTGCCACAGGACTGCCCTGGCGGGAAGAAGACTGGGGCTCCAGACTGCTCTGAACGCCACCTCCAATCCCACTTCCAACTGAACTGAACCCCAGTTCCAGGCTCATTGGGGGATAGTTACCTAGACTGTTTGGTAATAGGTGAAAATCGAGGGCACCTTTCTCTCAGAAGTGCTTGCAGCGAGTACTGAAGGACCCTGAGACTCAGGAGCTGCATAGGGCGGGGCTGACGGAAGCCAAGGCTGTAGGTTCCACCCTGAAACTCCACCCCATTAGGGAAGCAGGGAAGCTGCGAAAATGCGACAATGAAATAGATCACAAACAAAAGAAATGGAGGACAAAAAGCGACTGGATATAAAGTTCATCTCTACGCTTATAAGGTTTTTCAAGAATTTCCTAGAAAAGGTTGATAAGACCTATGAGGATATGAAAAGGGATCAACTAGAATTAATAAGAGATCTTATTAACTCTAATCTAAATCTTATCAACAAGAAATGATAAGGGATCAACAAGAAATAAAGAATACATTGTCTGAAATAAAAAATATTATACTGAGTCCTAAAAACAGAATGGAAGATCGCAAGAATCAAGTCAAAGATTTGGAACGTAAAGAGCCAGAAGACACTTCTCTGAAAAAGCAAGAAGGCAAGAGAATCCAGAAAATTGAAGATAATGTAAGAAACCTCTGGAACAACTTCAAGCGAACCAACATCAGAATTATGGGGGTCCCAGAAGATGAGAGAGAGCAAGATATCGAAAACATACGGAAAGAAATAGTGACAGAAAACTTCCCCCACCTGGTGAAAGAATTAGACTTACAAGTCCAGGAAGCGCACAGAACTCCAAACAAAAGGAATCCAAAGAGGACCACACCAAGACACATCATAATTAAAATCCCAAGAGCAAAAGACAAAGAGAGAATATTAAAAGCAGCAAGAGAAAAGCAGGTAGTTACCTATAAAGGAGCACCTATACGATTGTCAGCTGATTTCTCAACAGAAACCATGCAGGCCAGACGGGAATGGCAAGAAATATTCAAGGTGATGAATAGTAAGAACCTACAGCCAAAGATAATCTACCCAGCAAAGCTATCACTCAGAATCGAAGGCCAGATAAAGAGCTTCACTAATAAAAAAAAGCTAAAGGAGTTCATCACCGCAAACCAGAATTATTTTATATAATATATGAATTGCTGAAGGGGGTTCTTTTGGAAGAGAAAGTAAATAAAGATAAAAATTATGAACAACAAATACGTAACTATCAACAAGTGAATCTAAAAACTAAGGAAATTTAAAAAAATCTGATGAACAATATTAACTGTTGAATATAATAGAATCAGAGGTATGGAAGGGGAGTGAACTGACGATTCTTGGGGAAAAGGGGAGAGGGGGATGTGGGAAGAGACTGAACATAAACTGTGCACCTATGGATGAGGACAATGGGGGGTGGGGAAAGGCCAAAGGGTGGGATGGGAACCTGGTGGAGGAGAGCAATGGAGGGGGGTAGGGGGAAAGGAACATTTGTAATAATATGAACAATAAAATTTTATTTAAAAAAGAAAAAAAGAAATCAGAACCTCTGTGATCAAATCCTGGCTCTGCCACTTATCAGCCATGTGAACCCAGGCAAGCTATGTTATTTTCTGGGCTTCAGTTTCTTTATCAGTAAGAGATGTTTAAATGCTCATGGAGAGAAACCAGACAAGACAGGGTTGGAAATGCAGCAGAGGCATGTAGTATACTACGCATATAGTACTGCAGATCTATCTTGTCAGAGTGTTGGTGAGAACTTAGTATCATTTAAAATAAATGCTTAAAAAATAAAATAAATGCTTAAAGTATTTTAAATATTTACTGTTTTAGAAAAATGCATTATACAAATAACATAAATTAGGTGAGACTATGTTAAAATATCAATTACAACATATTTTATTGCATATTATATTAATATCAAGTTTTTTCTTTTCTTTTTCTTTTCCTTTAAAGTTCTCTTTTAGGAAAGTGTTTATTTACTACGGAAATTTTCAAGCATCACAAAAGAGAATACTGTTATGAAACCCCGTTATAGTTACAAAAATGTTACCATTCTTGCTTTCATCTTTCTACTCATTCTTTTTGTTTTTGTCTTGCTTGAGAATTTTAAAGTAAATCGCAGTCCTTATTCCGCTTGCAAAGACTTGAGATATGTATTTCTGATAGAGACACCAGCAAGATTCACAGTGGTTCTGAGCGCCCCTTGACTCCCGAGCTCCCGGCCTACTGCCTGCCCCTAACTCGCCTCCTCTCTCTGCAGGTTAACTGCCCAGGGTTGTGGGGTGGTGGTTGCACGCTAGGCGGAGGCCTCCTGGCTTACCATGGAGAGGACCCCTCGCTCTGGGTGGCGTTGGAGTCTTAGGGGGCTATGGGCCTATGGGCTTCCCCCGCGCTACCAGGGCGCCTCCTGGCTGCGTGCATGACTACAACGAAACTGCAGCGGACGATTTGATACTCCCAGGACTTTGGGGTGCCAGGCTAGTCGACATGCTCCAGACGTGACGGGGCTTCAACAGCTGGTGAGGACCCTCCTCGTGCCTGGTGACCCGTCGACTCCGTCCTTCCAGGCCGGGGCTGCCGTCATCACAACTCCGCGCCACAGGCTGCGTTAGGCGGCTGGGAGCCAACACCTCTCTGCTTGTCTTCCCACGTCCCCGGGAAGCTGGCCTTGTCCTCCGTGCCCAACACTAACTGCGTGACCACGTTTCTCTGCACGTGTCCCCAGGGCTGGGACCAGCGACGCACGGAGCTTCCCGAGACTAATAGCGATGACCAAAAAATGGTAGTGCCTGTCTTCTCTCCCAGCGGCCCTGCGCCCGGAGGAGGGGACAGACAAGTGTCCTAACCTCTAATCCTCCTCTGCCAGGACTCAGGAATTCAGGTCAGAACCCCCAGTCGCCTAGGCCCTTCTCTTCCGGGTCCTATGAACTGCGGTGTCCTCAAGGACACTCCCTGAAGGCCAGGCTAGCAAACCGGAAGTCCCGGCCCTTCGCGCAACATTGTGACGCAATCGCAGCGACAGCCAATGAGGCGCGACAGCGCCGGAGAGCGGGAGGCTGGGGGCGGAGGTTTTAGAGAGCGGAGCGGAAGTGCTTATTGCCTAGCACCCGGCGTCTGCCAACCGGGGGGCCGCTCCACTGTTCTGGGCCGTCGCCTGCGCACGCCCGCGGTCCGGCTCTGCCATGAGCCGGCCCAGCCGACTGCAGAGGCAGGTTCTTAGCCTGTACCGCGAACTGCTGCGCGCCGGGCGCGGGAAGCCGGGGGCCGAGGCGCGGGTGCGGGCCGAGTTTCGGCAGCACGCCTGCCTGCCGCGCTCCGACGTCCTGCGCATCGAATACCTGTACCGCCGCGGAAGGCGCCAGCTCCAGCTGCTACGCTCCGGCCACGCCAAGACCTTGGACGCCTTCGAGCGCCGGCAGGGCGCGAACGAGGAGCCAGGCGAAGCGGGGGCCCCTACGACTCAGCCTCAGAAGAGTGACGATTCGAGGAACCCTCTCGAATGGAGTCACCGGAAATCCCGCGGGATGGACGGCGACAGGCCGAAGAGCTCAGATGGAGCAGGGAAACGGTGGGGCGGGATCGCTTGACTGTGTGTGTGGTGGGATCGCTTGACTGTGTGTGTGGTGGGACCAGGGAACCCGCATGGTGGAAGGTGAGAGATCTTGAGAGACTAGCTCGATGGATTGGGGGAATTGGAGAGCCGTCCTGGCGATGTAGGGTCTAAAGACCACCCTGACGGATGGCAAGATATGCTTGCCCTTGTACTATTCATAGTCACTTGTCTACCCCTTCGTGAGAGTTTGGGGCGGGCTGTTTCGCCAGCTGGCTGGACTATGTCAAGTGAGAGCTACTGCTAGAAGGCATGGGGAGCCAGGATGCCCCCCTCCCCGCCCCGTTGGACCGAAAGAGACTGAAACACCCTTCTCTTCACCTCTGGCTCCTGAACTCCCCTCTTTGTATTTCATTCTGTTTTTGTGTTTGTTTTTGCTGAGGAATTTGAGAAGATGCCCTGATGGACGACGGTGAGAAGCCCCTTATCCCTTTGGAAAACTTTCCTCCCACTAATTACTAGGACTGGTGAGGAAGGGACTAGGACTGGTGAGGAAGGGACTAGGGGTCTCATCCCAGCTGACAATTTGTAGACCCCTCAAGACCTCCACACTTACTGTTTCTGAGGGCGAGCCCTGACTCCTTTACCCTTCCACCCTCAGGACTTCAAACAAATGGAATAAAGTTGGGGATGTGTTTACTTCCTGTTGGTGGTCTTAAAGATTTTATGTGTTTGGGAATATTTGAAGAGGCACACACACCAAGAAGTGACTCTCAACCCTTAATACAGTTCCTCATGTGGTGACCCCTAAAGACCCACAGGTTGAGAACCGCTAGTAGGGTCGCCTGAGACCATCGGAAAACTCAGATATTTACATTACGATTCATTAACAGTAGCAAAATTACAGTTATGAAGTAGCAACAAAAATAACTTTATGGTTGGGGTTCACCACAACATGAGGAACTGTATTAAAGAGTCACGGCATTAGGAAGGTTGAGAGCCACTGTTCTAGGAGGAATGGGTGTTCGGACCTGTCTTCCCCTCTGGAGCCCTGTAGATTGGCAGATCGGTTGAAACAGCATTGATCTCTCTCCTGGGCAGATCCATAAGAGACACCAAAGAAATCCCAGTTGACTCTTTAATGAAGAGGCAAGAGAAGGGATGGTAGAGCTGAGGTCTGGCTGGTAACCCCTCAGGCAATAGTGAGGGTGTCTTAAGCCTGATTGAGGAGTCTGGCCTCAGGACTCCTTGGATTTTTGTCAGCAAGACTCAGGGGTTAGGAAGGAGAGATGGAACAATAGGCCACAGGCAGAATCTCTCCCATGTCCCCATATGGGCTTGCTTTAGACATTCTTTGGAGTACTACATTTTGTAATCCTGAGATGTATTTACACCCAGGTCAGTTAAATAAGTGGGAAGCAGATACAGTTGAAAGGAGGGGAGACCTCAAACCAAAGGGAAGATGTATAAAAGAGAAACAGTCTCTTCCCTAATCCCAGTGGGTACCCAATAATTATAAAGTGGGGTTGAAATTTGAAGAATTATAAGGTAAGGATAGGCTTCTAAGCTGGAGGACCAGTGTAGGCAAAGTCCTAGAGGAGATAAAGGGGAGACATGCAGGGTCCCAGGGGGAACCTGGGGTCCCCTAGGGCACAGGCTGGCTTCTAGTTCTGCTTTGTCTCTGGTTAATATTCACCTAACCTCTGTCAGGCCCTTTGTCACCTTGTTTATCTATCTTGGCCTCAGTGTTTCTCATCAGGGTGGCCCTGTTAGTCCTGCCCTGGCTCCATCTCAGTAAAAGCAAAAGTCAAAGTGGCTCACTCCTGGCACCAGATCTTGTGACCTAACAAGCTTCAGGATGGGAGCTTCTGGAGCTGCAGGCAATGGGTGAGTTTCCACTGGGGCTGGGCTCCCAGATCATGAGGAGACATTCACTGGGGTATTACAGATGTGCAGTTGGCTTGGTAGTGAGGATGAGGAAGGGGAATACCTGATTTGAGGTTGTAGATGAGTGGTAATTTAGAGCTTGAACTCCTACCTGGCCAGCATGGCTCTGGTTAAGCATCAGCTTATGAACTGGAGGTCATTGCCTGGGTTGTGGGCTCATTTCCTAGTGTGGGGCTTGCAATTCTCATCATTGATGTTTCCGTCTGTCTGTCTCCCTCTCTCAGAAATCAATTTTTTTTTTGGCCAAAACCGGTTTGGCTCAGTGGATAGAGTGTCGGCCTGCGGACTGAAAGGTCCAGGGTTCAATTCCGGTCAAGGGCATGTACCTTGGTTGCGGGCACATCCCCAGTAGGGGGTGTGCAAGAGGCAGCTAATTGATGATTCTCATCGATGTTTCTAACTCTCTATCCCTCCCTCTTCCTCTCTATAAAAAATCAATAAAATATATATTTTTTAAAAATCTATTTAAAAAAAATTTTTTTTAAGAGCTTGCACTCCAAACTGGAATGCCTAGATTTGAACACCAGTTTTAACACCAATTACATGATTTGGGGCAAGTGATTTAACCTCTGTGCCTCAACATTATCTGTGAAATGGACATCATAATAGTGCCTCTCTCATGTGACTTTTGTGAAGATACAGTGAATTAAGTGTGGCAGATGATATTATCCAACCCCAGGATCCTCTTGCCTACTTCAGTTCACTTACAGCTGCAAAAGGAGGCTTTCTACTTCCAGCCCTGAGCTCTGGTATCTCTGCTCTGCTGAGAGTTCTCTGGGAGTTATGGGAAGTGAGCTAATGCTCTCAGCCTAAAGTGGATATCAGTCACTGGATGAGTGCCCCAGACTTCCTATTGTCTGGTCCCGAGATTGCAACAGCATTCTATAGGATCCTCATAAGAGCCATCCCCTCCACCCTTTTCCACAGTGGCTACCACTCTGTAAGCATCTTTTCTGGCTTACACCCTACCTATCTCACCCCATTCCCTGCCTCCTGCGTCCTGGAATCAAGTCCTAAATAAAGCACCTTACCCAAGTCCTTGGATTTCTGTGCTGTGTGTAAAGCCCACAGTTGATACTCTGCTATGTTTTTTATTGTTGTTTTGTTAATCCTCACCTGAGGATAATTTTTCCCTTGAGCCCTAGCTGGTTTGGCTCTGTGGATAGAGTGTCGGCCTGCAAACTGAAAGGTCCAGGTTCAATTCTGGTCAGGGGTACATGCCCAGGTTGTGGGCTTGATCCCCAGTGGGGAAACTGCAGGAGGCAGCCAATTCATGATTTTCTCATCATGGATGTTTCTCTCTCTCCCTCTTCCTTTCTCTCTGAAATCAATAAAAATATTTTTTCCCTTGATATTTAGAGAGAGTGGAAGGGAGGGGGAGAGACAGAAACATCAATGTGAGACAGAAACATTGATTGATTGCCTCATGCATGAGCCCCAACTGTGGTGAGGTTCATGACCTTCAGTCTGCAAGCCACTGAGCAACTGGTTAGGGCTGTTGCTGTTTTTCACTCTGCTGAGGTACAGGGCCAGTTCCTTCTCAACCCCTTGACTCTATCTGTTAAAGAATCTCCTGCTCTAAGACTTTACAGCAATATTTTAAAATATTAAAATTAATTTTACCTGTTTTTACTGTTTGTGACTAACAGAAAATTTTAAATAATTTGGGATATGGATTGTGGGTTGATAATAGAACTGAATCGCCCTGGCTGGTTTGGCTGAGTGGATAAGAGTGTCAGCCCATGGACTTAAGGGTCCCACATTCGATTCCAGTCAAAGGCATGTATCTCAGTTGCAGGCTCAGTCCCCGTGCAACCAATGATGTGTCTCTCACATCAGTTTTTTTCTCTCTCTCATTTCCTTCCACTCTCAAAAAAAAAAAAAAAAAAAAAAAAATCAGTGGGAAAATATCCTCAGGTGAGGATTGAATTGAGTTGTTAAATTTTCCTATTTTGATGACTGTACGCTAATTGTGTATGAGAATACCTTTATTCTTAAGAACTGCACACTGAAGTATTCAGGAGCAAACAGTATCATGTCTACAACTTACTCTCAAATGGTTCCAAAATATAGGGTGTCCTCAAAAAAATGTATTCACATTTTAACAGCTGATTGCTCAATTTTGAAAATGAAGTGTATTTTAATAAACACTGCCTTTATTCAAAGTGTGTATACATTTTTGGGGAAACCCTATATATGCACATATGTAAACATATTAGAGTGTGAATAGTTAAGTACATGGGGCAAAATGTTAACAGTTGGTTAATCTGAGTAAAGGATATATGGGAGTTTGTAGTACTAGTTTAAATAGCCCTGGCTGGTGTTTCTCAATGGTTAGAGTATCAGCCTGGACACTGAAGGGTCATGGTTTGATTCCCAGTCAAGGGCATGTACCTTGTTTGCAGGTTTATCCCTGGTGACCTGTTGTTGGGGCAGGTGTAGGAGGCAAGCAATCAATGTCTCTCTCACATTGGTATTTTCTCCCCCTTTCCTCTCTCCTTCCACTCTCTCTAAAAATAAATGGAAAAATATCCTTGGGTGAGGATAAATAATAAAGTTACGTATTTTTTATCTTTGAAAAAATAATGTCTGGTTTCCCTGGCAGATTCTGATCTTCATCCTATTGGGAATGACAAGTTACTAGAATATGTTGTTGTCTTAGGTCACAAACTGCTGTCCCAGGGGTCCACACCAGATGCATGAGGCAATTCAGGGGAGGGGAGGGGACTTGGGGAATTCTGGGAACTCACAGTTCCTAAAGAAGAAAGTTCCTACCACTCCCTGCTCAGTACCCTCTCAAACAGTGGCATCCACGGTGTTAATGATGTGAAGGAATTTTCTTTAGGGCAATAAAAGAATTGTGACTAAATTTTAAAACAGAATCCTTACCTGGAGACACTTCCTGAATTGTTGGTAAAAGGATATGCTGAGTAGACTTGAGAAGAATTAGGAAAGGAAAGTGGGCACCTGGGAGGATTAAAGGGATTGACCCTGAGTTGGTAATTACAACTGGTGAAGAGTCCACAAGGATCTGTAATGCTATTCCTTATTTTTTTGTACAAGTTCAAAAAGTACCAGAATGAAAGTTGAAAAAACGAAACAAACTCACTCAGACTGGAAGACCTCGCTGTGGTCCACAGGCTTAAGCTGATCTGGCCCCATAACCTCTCTCTCACCTTCTCCCACTCTCCCGCTCCAGCACTCACATTCCAGCCACACTAGCTTTCCCATGTGCCAAGCACACTCCTACCTCTGGGCCTTTGCACTTACTGTTTTCTTATCTGGAATGCACTTCTAGGTTTGCACTGCCCAGGATGATAGCTGAGAGATACTGTGACTGAGGAATTTTTCTAATTTTTTAATAAATTTTAAGTAATTTAAAATTTAAAAGAGATGCCGTGCAAAAGATTCCTCTTTGGGTAGGACTACGTTTTATTTAATCTGTTGGAAATTAAGTGTCTGAATTGAGAAGTGCTATAAAGAGTGAGATACACATCAGATTTCAAAGACAGTAAGAAAAAAGGATTATAAATCCTCATGTATTTTTATGTTCATTACACATTGATGTTTTGTATATATTGGGTTAAAATATAAATTATTAAAATTATTTTTCATCTGTTTCTATTGTTTAATAGGGACTACTAGAAAATTTTAAATTATATTTATGCCTCACATATTTCTACAAGAGGCCCAGTGCACGAAATTCGTACTCTTGCGGGGGGAGGTCCCCTCAGCCCAGTCTGCACCCTTTC